AAAAAAAAAAAAAAAAAAAAACAAACATAAACAGGTCCATCTGCACTGCCCATTACTAACCTAGGACACCCCCAAGTTTGATCTCCATCATTGTGTTAAGCCCATCATGAAACTGCATCTGAGTATCCAACTGCAGGTTTACCTCTGTAAGAGTAGCAATTTACAATTTCTCTTTATTTCCTGTTTGTTTTTCTTAGTATGGGAGGGGAGGTTAAGTGTTGCTGTTCTTTCATGTATGAAATCTATAAGTGAGATTAATTTTAATTTTTAAATGTTAGGTTTGGGTCTCTTGGCAAAAGGATTTATTTATTTATTTATTTATTTATTTTTACCAAGTAGGGAACACTTGCTTTAGTGCTGGAAATGACTCACTTACTTGTTTGTATGCTCCCTACATTCAGAATTAATGCACAAGTTTATGGCATCAGATGGGACGTGGCTGTTAATTTGTGTATCTGTGTTATGAATCTAACTCTTTAGAGGAAGTTTGAACACATTTTTCATTGTGTAATGTTTCTTCAGAAACCATATTTGGATACAGCTTATTTTTTTGTCTGCTATATGTTTATTTGCTTTGTAACCATGTTTATAAATTTTATTTACAGTATTTTTCCTGGAAATTTAAAATCAAGTTTTGAAAATGGTATGATAAAAATTATTTGAGGTGACTTAAAAACAGTGTTAAATAAACTCAGCACCTTTGTTTCAAACTTCTCCTGTTTAATATTTACTGCATTGGTTGACAAACTACTGTGGCCTCGATCTGCCTGTTTTTGTATGAGATTTTATTGGAACACAGCCCACACTCATTACACTTACGTATTCATCCTCTCTGGTCTGCTATGTGGAGGATTTTATCCATAGATCCAACAAACATCTAGATCTGAAAGACTCATTTCTCTCCTATATGTGTTAAGTTAGCCTTTGGGCTTCGCATGTGTTTCTTTTCCTTCTCGAGCTCACTGATCACTGAGATTGGTTTTCCCTTTTTTTCCTGCAACAGGACCGCTGCATGTGGTAGGGAAGTGATGCTGTGAAGGTGACATGCTCTTCTCCTTTCTTCCTTCTGTCCTCTCCTCTCTATTTTGGCCTCCTGGTAATTGGGGCAGGGTGGGGACGGGGCATTGCTAGTCTAAATTAAAATGAAGTTGTTTTAACTGTTCCCCCATTACTTGAAAAGGGAGGGGAAGGGAGATAGTTTCTTGGCCTGCAGTTAAGAGATAAAAGTTACTCAGCTTTTGCCACAATCTGTTTTGGGGTCATAGGGTCTTAAGAATGCTGTAGAACTATTCCCTCTGTGTGT